GGTTGTCACTAGTTCTCCAACTTTCATAAGTAATGTAATTGATCCAAGGGCTCTCTCTCCCTTTTGGTTAAATCCTCTTAACATCATTTTATCGGTCATAAGCTCTTGGCTTCAATGTTCATATAAGCCAATGTCCGTAGCCTCAACACGTTGAGTGATGCTTCTGGATCTACTAAAACTCTGGACAACATAAATCTGTCATTATTAACAGAGATGTAGAGCAGACAATTGTGGTCGGCAGTACCGATCAACAAGTCCTCATCTGTGAATGTCACATCAGTCTGTTACTTCAAGGAGCAAACTTCATCTGAGGATGTACTGGCCAACTTGGCTAAACAGATCTCTCGGTCTAGCAAGGCTGTAACCGGAGACTCTCTCATCTCCTTTGATTAAATTAGAGAGTTGTAGATGCTTAATCTGACCGGCAACTTCTTAAGATGAGCTAGCACCTTGTAATCCACTTTGTATGATCCTCCAATTTTTTCTTGGTTATGTGATTCTTCCACTGGTAGAGATGGAGGTAGCTCTTTTTGAGTTAATATTTATTTTCCTTTATCTGTTGGAGCTATTCTTAGGGGAAATACTCTCCCACTCCTTAAGTTCACTTTGTTTAGTCCGTCTTCTTGAGATATCATTGTAAAATCTTCCATTATTTCTTCTTTATGAGAAAGATCTAGGTTGATGGCCAGTGGTGCATCGTGGTGCTCAAGGATTGGTCAAAATAAGTTACGTTATCACCAGAAACAGTTAAAACATAGCTAGAATCATGATCATTATATTCATAGGACCGCGGAGGGGTAAAAAGACAATCATACAAAGTCAAATGTTAGAGGATTTTCTTCCCCGAGTCTAAGAGAACCAATCTAGTAGAGGCAACCCTTATCCTACCCTAGTGGTATCAATCTTTGTGGTAGTGTTCTGCTTCTTTTTTGTATTTGACGATGACAAATCTCATAGTGAAATATTCATCTCGGGCTTGGCAGACTTAAGACTTTGAACGGAAGCTTGTTTTGATGCAAACTGAATCTGATTCAGTACCCCCTTGTCTTGGTCCAAATCATACTCTATCCATCTTTTTCAGTATACGTATCAATTGGAGAGATCGGCATAGTGGAAATCATATTTATGGAACCTTTTTAGGTTCTTTTAAATATTTGTTTGGGATTATTATATTTCCTTCTTTAAGATTCTTCTTGAGCCAATCCTTGAAGACGAAACATTCTTCTACAGTTTGCCCAAGCAATCTGTGATATGAAATATAATTTGGTGTATCCTTCTTGTCGACCTCTTCGGGTTTCTTTGGATCTGGTAGTCTAAACTCAGTTTTCTTCATCACACTTCTGAAAATCTTGGATATTGCTTCATCTTTGAAGGAGTATACCACTTTCTGTCGCTCTACATAAGATATTCTCTTATTCTCTGATTGAGATGATCTTACTTGAGGCGGTTGCTGGTTGGACTGGCTATTCTGTTTCTGGCATGCTGTGATGAAGTTTAATGAGGATTTATTGAATATATCTTCATTGTTTGTTTCCCTTTATAGACAGTCGCTATTGTTCCTGACTTCTTTTCAAATACTCTAGTTGCCTTGGATTTCTCGTGAGAATCCATATGAATGATTTCTTCATGAAGACTACTGGCTTTACTGAGTAGCTTCTCAAAGGATTTAATGATGAGTCCTTTAAGCATGAAATCTACAAATCTACTGGCCCTCTGGCCCTTGAATGCTTTTGAGTAAAATCTCAATTGTGTGATGTTCCTGTAGCTGAGGTTCACACTTCATGCTAAGGTTTCTCAACCTCAAGATGTGATCCACCAAAGTCCGAGTGGGCTTTTGCTTTTCCATCATGAGCTCTCATATAGAAATATGGTATTGCGCTGCAAAGAATCTCTTAAAAAATAATTATTTCAACTCGGTGAATGTCTTATCTGATATGCTGGGCAAATAGACATACCAATCAAAAGCAATCCCTACAGATTGCTGACAAATTGTTGGAAGAGTAAAGCCTCATTACTACTTGTGTTTCTCGAGATTTCTAGTCCTATTAAATATCTTAAAGTTTGGGGACACAAAACCCTTAGGAAGGGTATGGCATCAAATTCTTCCGGGTAAGGTCTACCCTTTAAAACCAATGCACCACCCTTAGATTAGGTTAAGGCCCCCCAAACTTGCTCGACCATTTGCTTAAATTGCTCCTCTAGCATGGCGCTCGATGGAGAATCCTTCTATGGTTGCTCATCCCTATTTTTTGAAGCAACTTCTCTTCTTTCATCGATAATATGTATAATTTCTGATTGATTGGCCTCTAGAAAGGCTAACTGTGGAGGTTGAGATTGTCCTTAAATTGTGGTCATAGCAGTCATGGCTGCAGCCATTTCTTCTATCCTTTTCTCTAGTTGGTTGACTTGCTCATCCCTTAGAAAAATAGCCCTACATAACTCACCTACGACATTCTCTTCGATGAGAAGTTGAGCCTCACATGTAGCGGCTCTGGTCTTGATAACACAGACATCCACGAAATCTTCTTCGAGGTAATCATGATAGTCAAAATCTTCACCATCGTCAATGGAGGCTCCATGTTCCCGAGCCAACTCAAAAAGCTTGACTCTAAGCTATTCAAATTTTCCTTCAATGATTGATTCTTGAATTGCCTTAAGATCTGGAGGACCTTGCTGGACCTGCTTCTCTTGTTCCTCCATCTCACTGGGAATTGCTGCGACAATGCCAGATACTTTGGACTCTGACTTCGATCCATGCTCTTGCATTACAGGCTTACTGGACTGTATCGGTACAACGGCCTTTGGTACCCACACCTTTTTTTTTACGGTGATGTCTTGAGATGAAATGTCTCATCGGTATGTCGAAGAGAAGTATGCTCCCCATGGTGCAAATAAACTATAGTAACGGGTAATTTCTTCATTTTTGCCTTTGAGACTTTAGGAATATCTTTAAGGTGGGTGACTAGTAGAATTATTGGACCCAGTCGTGACTTAACTGGTCAACCACCTGTGGGTCTAGTAATGGTAGAATTGTTAGTGACAATAGCGGTATCAACTCTGCTTCCCAAACGGAACCAGAAGGGAATGCGAGCAGGTAGGTTTTCTTTTGACTTTTGAGATGGTTTGACAGATCTGACGTCCTTAAGAATTTCTTTCTTCATGCGAGGGGATGTTGCATGTCCCACTAGTTTAAGTAGTTCACTAACTGAACAACATTCTTTAGCAGCTAGTATCAGGAAAACTGAACTGACTTGGGTGATAGGAGCATACTTCTTCCTCTCTCCACCATGTCCATGAGGTGTTAGTAAAGTAGCAGCGATTTTCCGGATACTATCATACCTGTTAGTGTTCATCAAGGGATGGAACCCACTCCATTGCAGAAGTAGATAGGTCTCTGACAATGCTGACTTATCTTCGTGAGGATTTTTCTAAAAAGGTATCTCCTTAGGAGCCTGGGCTTTATTAGCCCTCCGAACCCTCCTATTAAAGTTTCTCCTTTGGGTTTGAGTTAACGGTATAGTCCTCAAACTTGATCTGATTTCAAACACTGACGGCGGGATGACCAATCCTTCAGTTGAGTATTCAATGATCATAACTTCTTTTCCCTTAGCAACAGCGGGAACAACAGGCTTGGTAGGTACCATGGAGGCAGTAGCCCTGACCTTCTTGTAAGAAGGAAAATCCTGAGGGGAGTTCCAGTTAAACTCGGCAGACAGTACTTGAACCTTTGGAGCGACGACTTTCAATATGACGAACTGGGCTTTTCCGAGAATGACCTCGAGATCTTCAAATCTTGCTCCAAATTTGATGATGGTGGGAGCGACATCACGGGCATCGCGGGTCGTCGACAGGTTGCAGGAAAACGTTAGCATTGGGTGTTCCAATAAAGCAGCTTCAAAAAGAGAAATCTCCAAGTTAGTTATTTTGGCCAAAATCTCATGATCTAAGTGCAAGCACTAAAAATTAACAATGGTGGATCTGTAGACCGGAAATGTCTTTATTTACTATGTGGGGATTTAAAAAAAAAATTAGTAAAAGTAGCTTAAAAGTAGAAATATTTAATTACAAGAGAATTTTAAAGTGTGCGTAGCACGTCGCAATCCAATTTAACTTGCAAAATAGTAAATCAAATTCAAAAAGGAGATGTGAAGTATTTAGGACCCAATGTGGGACCAACTTAACAATGCACAATGCCCAGGTAGAACTACTCCACCAACACACTTATTAGGGGTCCGACCCCACACGAAGATTAAAAAAGTCCTTAATGGTCTTCTGAACATCCCTATTCAAAGGTGGTTGAACAGACGGTCCTGAAGTCCAAAGAGTTGATCGTACTTTCTCAAGACAGAAATGAGTAAGGTATGTCAACAGAAGATAGGTAATTTAATTCATGAGGGGCATGATCAGGTTACTGATATGTGAAGATTGCATTTCTTGATTTAAATAGAAAGAGAAGCTCATCCCCAGCAGAGTCGCCAGAAGTTGTCGGTCACCGAATTAGTTGAGGAGTTCCCCGTAAGAAGCTTTCGGTCACCTGAATCAAAATCCGTTATAGATTTAAATTTAGAAAAATATGAAATCAAACTGACCCAAACTTTTCATAGTTTCAATGAAAGAGTGCTTTACCTCAAACCCTGTATCTATTTCGAGGGATAAACACAAGACTTAAGGATGAGGATCAATCAAATAAACTAAGGAATACATGACATTCGTTTGGTCTGCGAAACCTTTATATTTGCCGAAAAGTTCCCCTATTTAATATAAAGGATTAAATAGGGTTTATATTAAGCTGGGTTCGGACATGTTTCCTATAAG